GCCATAAAAATCAGAACTGCACATTGGGTGAAGACCATGGAGATATTTGGAAACCACTCCATGAATGAGATACTAAGGAATTGGGCTGAAATAGCACAAACAGATGTACCCAAAGTTCTTGTAAGCATGGAATGGAAGCCACCAGCACGGAACAAACTAAAGCTGAATTTTGATGGGAGTTCTCTTGACAACCCTGGAAGGGCAGGCATAGGGGTGTGTGTTTAGAAATTATCTAGGTGTGGTGGTGGCATTCTACTCTGGACCAATAGGTTATGGTGACTCAATACAGGCTGAATCTCTAGCCCTACTTAAAGGTCTAAAGATGGCTGAGCAGATAGGAACAACAGACTTAGAAATTGAAGGAGACTCTCTATTGGTCATCTCTTGGGCCAAAAACATCACATCAGCACCTTGGAAGCTCAAGTTTATTTTCAGAGAAATTGACACACTTGCAAGGAAGTTCAACTCTCAGTTTGGTTGGGTTAAAAGGGATGCAAATGGGATGGCGGATACCCTAGCAAAACAAGGGGTAAATAGATCTTCATTGTATTGGGCAGAATTGTAACTGATTGCTAGAGATTGCAATTTCCTATGCAATCTTTATCTATTGTATCTTAATCTCTCTGTTATTAATGAAAGATTTTTACTGATAAAAAAAAAAAATCTTCCTCAACTTCAAATGCCTTTAAAGTTGAAACCCAGTGAGAACCCAATCTTCAATGCCAAAAAGAGTGATGCAATCTCTGCATTTATTGACATTGCATTTCCGATAGGGCTAGAATATGGTGCAATTACTTGAGCTTTATTCAGGAAGGAATATTAAGAATTCTAATCCATTAACATTGGCTGTCCTTGGTGATTGTGGGAGGCAATAGTTTGCTATCTTTTGATGACAACATATAGGCTGTGTTTGGTTTGAAGGAAAAAGTAGGGAAACCTTTACAAACCTTGTATAGGTTTCCCTACCTTTCCCTTCCTTTCTCTACCTTTTCCTTCAAACCAAATATAGCAAGTGTTACTCTTCTAAATTTCTCCCTAGTTGATATTCAATGGTCCATCCTTGTTGTGAGTTGGTGACTATTACCAATAATGACATTACATCCATCTTTTTGTGTTGGAAAATCCTTGCAATTTTTTCCTATTGGTTCCCTAGTATAGATGCTTTAGTACATCTCCATATTGTTTATCACATCCCATGTTAACTCCGTGAAGTTAGGGGGGATTGTTAATTGTTTTCAATAACAAGAAGCAAGAAACTGTGCTAATAGACCTGCCGATGACCAAGTAGTTGAGATGGCCAGTTGGAATCTATCCAAATAGGAGGTGCGGATCAAATCTGCTGAACTACAAGCTTTCTGTGATATGGCCTGTGGGCCTCGTTGTTATGGGCCCGAGCGTAGGATCGCGTCACGGGTCGCTCCACCGCAGGAACCTCAGATCTTTCCTTGCCCTTGGCCTTGCGTACAAGCCCTCTTTTGACTATCTCGTGGGTGATTTGTTGAAGAGACCACCCGAACTCTCCTAATGGGTGATTTGTCCAAGAGATCACCCGAACTCTCCTCACTCTCTTTCTCGACTGCGAAAACTGAATCCTTTATTTCAATTCGTAGCTCCTTAAATAGGAGATTACAGAAGGAAATTCCTAATTAAACTCAAACTCCAACTTGAA